ATTGGCGTCAAAGAATATTTATAATTTTCAGAAGATCAAAGCACAGTATAAAGATAGAAAGACAAATATGACCGGGGATGATTGGCTATGGAGCATAACAATTACATTTACCAAAACAAACAGATATTTGAAGGAGAAAGTGCCATATAGAACGAGGTATGCAGACTCCTTAGTAACCGTGGTAGAGGTTTTGAGAATACTTAGGGTTAATATTCTTGGAAGTGAAATTATATATTAGAATTATACATGTGGAACATCTGTCACAGTGAAATCATTACATACAATTTGTCCCCTAGTAAATGATTAATACCATGCAATATTCTAAATAGTGTTATGCGGTAGTTAAGGTTCTGCTGAATCATTTTTTTCCGAAGATAGAACATTTTTCAGGACAACCAAATTTCGGTCGAATGTCAGTTTGGCTCAGCCAAATGTCAATTTGGAAGCGAATCAGGAGAGCAACCAAAAAGTCATGAAAATGGACCAATCAGTTTACGGCACAAAATATACATAATATAATATTATGGATATATCATGCAGATATACAAGCGATTTACCCCAAATTTGGCTGAATTGCAGTCTAGCACTCTACTGAAGAAAGAAGAGTGATTTTTCCGTGGCAAAACAAAAGAAAGTTTAAGCATCGCATTCTTACGGGGTTATTTAACAAAGTAAGAAAACAAGGTGGTGAATTCAACGTGAATTTCAAATTTAAGGTCGAATTAGCCTTAAATTTTAAATTAATTTCAAACCCTGATTTGAAAAACCATGGTAGAAAACAGAACACGAGAAAAATTAAGAGAAGGGAGTCATCGGGATTCCCTATTAATAAGGAAGTCCAAGCATATATTCCTTGTCTATTTCTCTACGTGAGGTGAGTAGTTAGTAACAGGACCCATGCCATCCCTCCATTCACTCCTTCCTATATTGATTTGTATGTGGCTTCCGTAATTGCCAAGTACCCTCATTCCACTTCAGCTAGGGAAGATGTCTTCATGATCCCCTTCCTGGATTGCATTATAAATCCTCCATCTCATTCTATAACACAGAAATATGACGCTGGTGCATTACCTGATTGTAACCTAGTTATTTACTAAAGTAAGAATTCTAAGTGAATTTAAACTAAATTTTACATTTAAGGTTAAAATAGCCAAGCTTGAAAAATTCTCTTAGTCCGCTATGCGTTCAGTTTGGCTAGTCTGGCCATAATTTGAAATTCACTTTATTGAATAACCCTGCTAATGAATAACCGATCTCTCAGCCCACCACATGCAGCAAAAGAGTAGAAGAAAAGGAAATTGTCAGAATATTGTTGGTTACTGGAGGATCAAAGGAACATTGGTTTTTTCAGGGTTGCCAATTCTGTCATGCCCTACTTACTGACATTATTTTTATTTTTTAAGAAGAGCAATCATTGGGTACATTATGGTGATACGGAGAGTGTCTGAGGATCCAAAACACCATTTTATCATTATTCTGGCATTTATATATGTCCATCACAGCAATGAGCAGTTATTTGTCCTATTTTCTGCGACAATAAAGAAGTTACTGTATTAATGCATGCAAAGTAACGTTTTATGGTATGTGCATACTGCAAGTGTCCCTCCAGGACACTCCAAATACGAGACACTTGGATTCATTGCTTCTCTATGAAAAATATTTGATTGGATGAGAGAGGCACTTCTTGCGGCCCCAAAGCTTTCGTATGAGAAGCATTGGATTAGATGAGAAGACAAAGAGGAGACGTCTGCAGGAAGATGGGGAGGCAGAGCAAGCAACTGCAAGGAGTGATTCGTGGTACTTGAAAAAGGCAAGTAATATATGTTGTTTTTTTAAATTTGGGGGTGGGGGGGTGGGACTGCAGAATCTAAATAGCAAATAGAACGTTATAGCTTTAGGAATACATGTTTGCATTCCTAATGCTATGGAGTTCCTTTAAACTGGGACTTTTTGCCAAACTCTATCGTACTTTGTACTGTGCATTATGATTTTTCAGGGATTAGTAACTAAAGTTAGAATTGATAAATAATGATAATAATTAAAGTACACTTGGGAAGGATTTTTCTCTTTCTCTGTTATTTTCTCAGCAACATTCCTAACAATTGTCACTTTCTAACTCTGTGACATGGCTACGATGTTTCTGTCACTTATTGCTATTGTCACAGGAAGGTCTACTGAGAATGTCAGTGCCATTACTATTGTTGTGAGAATTTTAACGGGGTCATTTGCATAGAACTTCATGTGTGTTTGTATGGCTCACCATATCCTGAATCATGTGTAGCTGGAGGCTAGTCATTGTTGTGAATAAAGTCTTTTAGCTATTCTTGCACTCCTGAACTGAAGTGTTGTGTTTTATTTGGGGGAGCATGGTGACAGAGTAATGGACCTCTGAGCCAAAAGCTTAATCACTTGGTACTGTGAGCCAAAACTGTATTTTTAAAGACAGTGTCAGGTAGACGAATTGATATTTTCAGAAGAAGGGATATCTGCCTGTGGGTAGAGGAACTACCTTACCCTGACTAATCGTGGTGGTAGACTCTGATGCCAGTGGATAAAGTTCAGCTTTAGAAACTGGGTCTGTAGTGCTCCAGAGTCCCCTGAAAGCAACGAGGAAGCTGACGTGATGGAGCTACACAGTCCGAGTACAGGAATTTGTTACAACTTGATTTGTGAATAAAATCAATATTTAGTCACTGACCAAAGCAATTAATCTTTTTTTTTTTTAAATCATCTTTTTTTTTTTTAATCATCTTTTTTTGTTATAAAAATCATCTTTTTTTTTTAAAAAAATCATCTTTTTTTAAAAAAATCATCTTTTTTTTTTTTGACGTCTTGTGCAGAATGCACATGTAATTATGATACTATGTACATTAAGTGGGTTAGATTTTGGCATAAGACTGATAGATTTGGCATAGTCTCTGACACATTTGCACCAGTGACTGATTGTAGTGAACGCACACCTTTTTATTGTATAGATATTGATGGATAGTAAGTTTTTAGGTAATTGAGTTAAAAGTTAAGTTTTACCAAAGGCGACTAGCTTGAATTGCGAAGATGTAACATGGGGGACCCTCTAACCTAGAAAACCGGAGACACACTCCAAATTCACAGGGGTACCATACTCACGTAACTGACTTTGTTTGTAATTGTTTGTGAAGGATTGTTGTTGGAATGGTTGGATGCACTGCTGTTGGAATGGTTGGATGCAATAGAATCATGTTTATTGATGCATATTGTTGCTCAATACCGTGAAGAGGAGATGACAAAATACAGAGGGGCATTGAAAGTTTGCAGAAACAATTAGTGCCACAAACACAGAAGTATTTAAGTCTTCCTATGTTAAGTTTAATGATAAGATTGACAAGCTACAAACTGAAATTGTTGAGTGGAAAAAAATACATTTATACGAGACAATGAAGACTATGAAGATCACAATATCTATGTGAGAAAGAGAAGCTTTAGACAATTCAGAAAACAAACAAATGATGACAGGCCACTGTGATCAATTTTAAAAGAGGCAAGAAGTTGTTGGGGTGGGGCGGACAGACACACTTTGTCTGAGCTCCAGCACACAATCTCAAGTTTATAGCTATATTGGCAGATTACTCCCCCATCATTGACTCCAGCTGCCCTGCCGGTGACCCTAAACAGATTCCGAAGCGTGTTCTGATGTTTTTGGGTGTCCACGCTACCGGAGACCCGTGAGCAGTTTTGGCGGCTTAGTGGACCTAGGAGAGTGGAGAAGCGGCCGATCTCCACCCTGGACCCGTGTGGCCGATTAATGCCCTGTACCCCCCCTTGGACCGGTGGGGGTGATCCCGGTCTAGGCTTCCTAGTTACTCTGAGGGCGCACGGCACACCCGCGATACAAGCAACAGGCCCTCAAACATACTCAATATGGCGGGTTCCATATGCGCCCCCGGCCAATACAGAGGCTTCTCAGATGTCCTGCACCATCTGGATGGGCTATTTGAGTCCTTTCAGGCAAGGCTGAAGGCACACTTGCGACCCACTATACCAAAGGACCTGACAACTGCTACAAGTCCACGTACAGCCACTGGGCGAAAAGAGAGCAGTCAGTGTCACACCAAGGACCGAATGGTGTGTAGAAGGAGAGCAAGACCCACGGTGAAGCCGGCAGCAGAAGCTGGAACTTGGGACCGCCTGCTGATCTCACAGGATTTACCTGACTGCCACAAACCACCACTTAAGGGAGTTATCAGACTTCCATCTGGGACTCCTGTACGAGGTCTACATTTGGCAACCACAAGGCATAGGCTCATCTCATACCCAAACCAGGGTCTACCTACCTTTAACATCACATCCCAACCGTGATGCTGCTGAATTCGCGATTTAAACGGTTGCCTCGTTTCCTTTCATGTACTTCGTAATGCTTTTACATATAGTCTGTCTGGGGGGCCTCCTGAGGGTTCTTACTCGTTGCTAAACTGTGACATTCTTACATTAACTACTATTAACTCTACAGCTTCTACAGCTGTAAAGAACCTGCTTGCCTATTATCACAATGTTTCACTCAAACTGCACTGTCTTTCTTGACGTTTTTATTTTTTCCTTTAGTTAATTTTAAAAATGTGCTGCTTCTTCTATACACTATAATTGTCAGTGTATACTATCCTATTTTTGTCATTGATAAGCACATCAAAAATAAAGAATAAAAAAATAAAAAGAAACAAAATGTTGATGTCACAGATTATCAGGTGTATTGGGGGACGTCACACATTTGGTTCTCCATCAACTACTAATGCTAGTAACATCAATTTGAAAGAGGAATAAATATTAAGAAAACATACAAAATCAAAAGACTGAAAAGAATATGAGTATCCATGAACGAGACTCAGAAACTGTCACTTGCAGCCACCAAGCAAGGTGGATTTTGTTCCTGTAGAGAACATTTCCAAAAAAGGTCTTTACTGACAGTGAGGTAAAAGCAGGTGAAGCTGTTTTGGTGTATAGATCATGTCCCTGCAGGCTCACTGCTCAGTTCTCTGCCATCTAGGTGTTAAATCACTTTGTTTATGCAGCCCTAGTCACACCTCCCTGCATGTGACTTGTCCTGCCTTCCTAAACACTTCCTGTAAAGACAGATCTAGTGTTTAAATTTCCTTTATTGCAAATTATGTTTAATTTAGAATTTCATATGTCCTTCTCCATTAATAGCTTCCTAGACCCTGCATGAGCCTCCTGTATATAATAAAATTTCAATTTACAGAGCAGGAGATAAAAACTTTTAAAGTAAGTTAGCATCTGATGCAGGCTGTGTCAGTCAGAGCCAGGGGAGGCGTGGCTAGTTCTGCATGACAAACAAAAATGATCTAACTCTTAAATGGCAGAGAATTGAGCAGTAAAACTTCAGAAGCATGATCTATACACACAAACTACTTTGTTAAGATAAAGTTGCTTTGGAGACTATAGTGTGCCTTTAAGGCAAGCTCCACTTCCTCTGTCAAGCTAACAAACAGTGAAGGTTACCTTTAGCTCAATCCTTTGTTAAGATTGTCATGAGAAGGGAAAAATACACATGACAAAGTTGTCCTGTTTTAAAGATCAGACGTAAAGAAAAGAAGAACAGATCCTGCAAGAGGAAGAGAAGAGAAAACAGTAGGAGAAAGGTATGTTTGAGGTGATATTTGGAGCTGAAATATTGGCCATAATAGTATAAGGGAAAATGAAATATGTATCAAGAAAACCCTCATTCTATTTAGCAGACTGTCCTCTAGTCTCCATTTAAGTAAAGAAATTAAAGTAAGGTTAGATAACTGTACCTGGCTTATGTGTAAAGGTTTCTTTAAACGTGGGCATCATCATTGTAAGTCATGCAAATCTGCTGTACGCCAACCTTTTATTTCTGAAGCAAGAGCTTCCAAATTTGTGCACACATGAACTGTGATTCAAGATATGTGGTTTATTTAATTACTTGGACAGTGTGGGAGATTCAGTATGTTGGTAAGATGGAGTACAAACTAAAGGATCACATTAAGGAGTGTTTAAACAATATAAAGACGGGAAATCAATTAACCACTAGTAGACATTCTTACAGGTAGGACAATAGAGAAACACATAGATTCTCTTTTCAAGGTAATGAGAGAGTGATAGGTCCTTGGAAGGGGATTACCTGGCCCCTTTTCTTTCCAGGAGGGAGATGGAGTTAAGTGCTCCTCTTGGATTGAGTGGGACATATCCTTCTTATATTAGTTTTGTGGAACGTATGAGAGCATCTTATAGTTAATAATTGGGTGTACTCAACTTTTACTTAATTATGTCCAAAATACTATTGTGATTAAAATTATATTATACTTGAAATGGAGCATTGCAATGTGAAAACTTATGACATAGGTTGTGTGCTTTGCAGTCTGTAATATTTGCTCTGTATAGAGGTGATACTCGAAAACGTTGAATATCGTGCAAAAGTTCATTTGTTTCAGTAATGCAACGTAAAAGGGGAAACTAATATATGAGATAGACGCATTACATGCAAAGCAAGATAGTTCAAGCCGTGATTTGTCATAAGTGCAATGATTATGGATTACAGCTCATGAAAACCCCAAATCCACAATCTCAGTAAATTAGAATATTGTGAAAAGGTGCAATATTCTAGGCTCACAGTGTCCCACTCTAATCGACTAAGTAAGCCATAACACCTGCAAAGGTCTCTCAGTCTGGTTCAGTAGGAATTACAATCATGGGGAAGACTGCTGACCTGTGAGTTGTGCAGAAAACCATAATTGACACAAAAGGTAATTGCGAAGGAAGTTGGATGTTCCCAAAGTGCTGTATCAAAGCACATTAATAGAAAGTTATGTGGAAGGGAAAAGTGTGGAAGAAAAAGGTGCATAAGCAGCAGGGATGGCCGCAGCCTGGAGAGGATTGTCAGGGAAAGGCCATTCAAAAGTGTTGGGGACTTTCAAAAGGAGTGGACTGAGTGCATCAAGAGCCACCACACACAGACGGATTCTGGACATGGGCTTCAGATGTCATATTCCTCTGGTCATGCCGCTCCTGAACAACAAATAACGTCAGAAGCGTCTTACCTGGGCTAAAGAAAAACAAACCTGGTCTGTTGTTCAGTGGTCCAAAGTCCTCTTTTCTGATGAGAGCAACTTTTGCATCTCATTTGGAAACCAAGGACCCAGAGTCTGGAGGAAGAATGGAGAGGCACACACTGCAAGATGCTTAAGGTCCAGTGTGAAGTTTCCACAGTCAGTGTTGAATTGAGGAGCCATGTCATCTGCTGGTTCAAAGCCTGGTTCAATGACGTGGGATTACTGTGCTTGATTGGCGAGCAAACTCGGTAACCTAACCTGAACCCCATAGAGAATCTATGGGGCATTGCCAAGAGAAAGATGAGAGACATGAGACCAAACAATGCAGAAGAGCTGAAGGCCGCTATTGAAGCATCCTGGTCTACCATAACACCTCAGCAGTGCCACAGGCTGATAGCTTCCATGCCACGCCGCATTGAGGCAGTAATTGCTGCAAAAGGGGCCCAAACCAAGTACTGAGTCCATATGGATGCTTGTACTTTTCAGAGGTCCGATATTGTTCTATGTACACTCCTTGTTTTATTGATTGCATGTAATATTCTAATTTTCTGAGATTGTGGATTTGGGGTTTTCGTGAGCTGTAAGCCATAATCATCGCACTTATGACAAATCACGGCTTGAACTATCTTGCTTTGCATGTAATGCGTCTATCTCAGATATTAGTTTCCCCTTTTACGTTGCATTACTGAAATATATTAACTTTTGCGCGATATTCTAATTTTTCGAGTATTACCTGTATGTGTATTTATATGGAGAGAGAGAGATTGTATTTATTTATTTATTTAAATGTATTTATTTGGCTTGCCTTGTTTTTTGTTACTGTTTCTAAAGTTGAGAATGTTACAGTGCAGTTTAGTAGTTTTGCATTGCTTACTTTCAGTAACGATGCATTTGTTTAACATGTAGATTATGTAGAAAGTTGTTTTTGGCCTTTTCCAATTAGTCACTTGAGATAGTATTGCATTGGCTTATGAGTTTAATTGTAAAGGAGCCGTTTGACTAAGTAGCACTTCGGCACTCCAGATGGTGTGGACTACATCCCCCATAATGCTCTTACACCCATAATGCTGGCAAAGCATCATGGGAGGTGTAGTCCAAAATACCTGCAGTGCCGAAGGTTGCCTATGCCCGATAGAAAGAGGATTAATAAAATCTCCACTGAATAGCTCTTTGTGAGGCTATATTAATAGAGTAAAATATATTATTTATTATTATTCTTTCCTAAAGTGTGATTAAGGTGTTTAGGATACAAACTATACTTAGTATATATAGATAGTATAGTATTGTGTTATAAGATCTACCTATATGTAATTATACGTCTACCTATAGATACCTATAGATCTACCTATATGTACACGTAATGAATCTGCTTTGAAAGTGTAAATAAGGGATTTTGGGGTTGGATTTTCGTTTTTGATGTTATTTATTATTATTATTACTTCTATTATTTTATTATTTATATAGCGCCATCAGATTCCGTAGCGCTGTACAATATATGTATGTTTTAGTAATTTTAATGGTTTAGCTGATGCACCCCTGCCCTGGTGGTATTGGCCCTTTAACATGTGAGTTATCCCTGTGGTTTAGTATTCCACATTGGTTCATTCTGATTGGTTTTTGTTATCTTTCCTTGCTGTACCATGTATTATATAGGCTACAGGTGGGTATGTTCTCAGGTGTACCTTGGCTGAAGCACCATTTGTTTTTATGGTCCTTATAGCACATAACGCATTGAATGCCAGGATGATGCTAGCACGCGAGCTACATCATTGTTTGGATTTATTACAAGTACAAGATAAAATAAAGCCGTGGTGGAATTTTCTCTGGTGAACGCTAGAGTTTCTTTCTATTTTAAGCTTGAAATTGAACCTTACAGAAGAGCTAGGATTTAGGGATGTGGAGATATGTCTTTGAGAAACAGAGTATGTCTCATCATAACATCTGCGGATATTTAATATAACTTTTGCTGTGTGAAGATATGAACAGTTTCTGAATCTTCAGGTATCTCATTGCTGCCCTTAAACTGCATAAGATCCATCATTTTAAATGATAAAACAATCCATTAAAGGGACATTTATGAATGGAGAGTGTGTCTTTTTTTTAAAATGTTACATAAAGTGGAGATTTCAGTAGGAATTGACACTTTTATATATTATCCTTGTTACATGCCCCGGCTGTCAATCAGACAACGGGTCCTGTTACTTCCTGGTTTGTTTAGGTCCATGGGACTAAACTCAAAAAGCAACAATTGCCCAAAGCACCTGCCTTGCAAAGACTTCATTGAGCTGCATTGGGAAGTCTGTTATCGGACAGCTATAGAAAGTCTGGGGCTGGGGGAGAAGAGATATGCAGCTTTTGCAAGCTTGTTTTAGATATCCCAACAATGTAAAAAGACCATAATTAAATGCATGCATGTTTTTATTGGGGATATATATCTACTAAACAGTGATTTATTTATTTATTTTTATATTCTTTATTTTCGTGGGTGAGCGCAAAGTTTACAGTACATCATGCAGTACATTGCACTGCATTTAGCAGCCCTGGGGAGATGAAAGCAGGAATCAACCATCAGCTGTTTAGCTTGTTTTGGCGTTAATAGA